CAGATGTTTTAACGTGTTCCAAAATGTGTGTGATTTCAGATCATAGGAATGATCTTCAGTATGGTTCTGTGTTGTGCCATCAGGAACAACAGGGAGGTTATATAGATGGTAAGTTGACTCACCCCCCACCCAGCCGGCTACACTGATCCTTTCATAAGCAATCCATCTGCATAAGAAGGGAAACACTAAAGTTACCATTTCAATGTCATTTCTTATAGTCCAGAGAGAGAGGACAATACATCCCAGTTGTTCACTGGCCAAATTCAACACGATACGCTGGATCGTTATCCTTCACACCTTCTCCTCAACTCCACCAGCACTAAAAGTGTATTTCTCTTTCCATAACACATACTCTGCTTTTGGCACAACTCTGTGACATTCCTCCATTTTAATATATTTTTGTTTTATTGCTGGCGCTCCACAGAGGTGACAGCGCAGTACAAGAAGCCTTCTTTGACACAGGAATGTTGTGTTGCTGTAAATATGGACACCTACTTTATGCACTTGCTGTTAACATTATTTATCGTGCCCTTTATAGCCCGTTTTATGCTATTTACAGGCCTTATGCCAAACATACTTTGTGTGCTTAAATGTTTTGAGGACTAGTCTACCTTTTCACAGCAAATTTCCATTACGTGCCTATTTAGTCAGAGACAAGCCTCCAGCTACCGTGCTATTTATCTATTCCTCGTGATTTGAATATGTACAGTGCCTTGCGAAAGTATTCAGCCCCCTTGAACTTTTCAACCTTTTGCCACATTTCAGGCTTCAGACATAAAGATATAAAACTGTAATTTTTTGTGAAGAACCAACAACAAGTGGGACACAATCATGAAGTGGAACGAAATTTATTGGATATTTCAAACTTTTAACAAATAAAAAACTGAAAAATAGGGCGTGCAAAATTATTCAGCCCCCTTACGTTAATACTTTGTAGCGCCACCTTTTGCTGCGATTACAGCTGTAAGTCGCTTGGGGTACGTCTCTATCAGTTTTGCACATCGAGAGACTGAAATTTTTGCCTATTCCTCCTTGCAAAACAGCTCGAGCTCAGTGAGGTTGGATGGAGAGCGTTTGTGAACAGCAGTTTTCAGTTCTTTCCACAGATTCTCGATTGGATTCAGGTCTGGACTTTGACTTGGCCATTCTAACACCTGGATATGTTTATTTGTGAACCATTCCAGTGTAGATTTTGCTTTATGTTTTGGATCATTGTCTTGTTGGAAGACAAATCTCCGTCCCAGTCTCAGGTCTTTTGCAGACTCCATCAGGTTTTCTTCCAGAATGGTCCTGTATTTGGCTCCATCCATCTTCCCATCAAATTTAACCATCCTCCCTGTCCCTGCTGAAGAAAAGCAGGCCCAAACCATGATGCTGCCACCACCATGTTTGACAGTGGGGATGGTGTGTTCAGGGTGATGAGCGGTGTTGCTTTTACGCGAAACATAACGTTTTGCATTGTTGCCAAAAAGTTCGATTTTGGTTTCATCTGACCAGAGCACCTTCTTCCACATGTTTGGTGTGTCTCCCAGGTGGCTTGTGGCAAACTTTAAACGAGACTTTTTATGGATATCTTTAAGAAATGGCTTTCTTCTTGCCACTCTTCCATAAAGGCCAGATTTGTGCAGTATACGACTGATTGTTGTCCTATGGACAGAGTCTCCCACCTCAGCTGTAGATCTCTGCAGTTCATCCAGAGTGATCATGGGCCTCTTGGCTGCATCTCTGATCGGTCTTCTCCTTGTATGAGCTGAAAGTTTAGAGGGACGGCCGGGTCTTCGTAGATTTGCAGTGGTCTGATACTCTTTCCATTTCAATATTATCGCTTGCACAGTGCTCCTAGGGATGTTTAAAGCTTGGGAAATCTTTTTGTATCCAAATCTGGCTTTAAACTTCTCCACAACAGTATCTCGGACCTGCCTGGTGTGTTCCTTGTTCTTCATGATGCTCTCTGCACTTTAAACGGACCTCTGAGACTATCACAGAGCAGGTGCATTTATACGGAGACTTGATTTCACACAGGTGGATTCTATTTATCATCATTAGTCATTTAGGTCAACATTGGATCATTCAGAGATCCTCACTGAAATTCTGGAGAGTTTGCTGCACTGAAAGTAAAGGGTCTGAATAATTTTGCACGCCCAATTTTTCAGTTTTTATTTGTTAAAAAGGTTTGAAATATCCAATAAATTTCGTTCCACTTCATAATTGTGTCCCACTTGTTGTTGATTCTTCACAAAAAATTACAGTTTTATATCTTTATGTTTGAAGCCTGAAATGTGGCAAAAGGTTGAAAAGTTCAAGGGGGCCGAATACTTTCGCAAGGCACTGTACATAATGACTGTGCCTGCTCCCAGCCACCACTCCTCAAGTATTTCTACTTTTAAAGCACAATAGAGAAAGTGTAGACATGATATCAACCCAAAGGGTTAGGAAAGGTCTGATGATAAACTGTCACTTTGTGAATCTCCAAATTCATCTAGAAGGTCATGAGTAACAAACACTACGTCTCGAGCTCTTCTGGAGCATGTGTGAACTGTAATACTGAGCTAGTTTGCCTTTTGTGTGCATTATTTTGGATGTAAATTTTGTTGGTGTGCCAATAAGATGTGAATTATAAAATAATGTAGTTTATGTCATACTGTTAACCATAATAAAAAAACACATTGGGTGCTTTTATTGATACGTTTGGCTTTTTTCAGTTTCCCCCCTATGAAGTGTCTGACTCACATGTGCTTCTTGTAAAGTGCAGGAGTGTGCATGCATGTAAATGATGTGGTCGGTGAAGTTCCTGAACACGTCAGAACTCTGTGTAGACTCATCAACAAGAAATGGCAGCCATTCAGAATAGCAGCACACTGCTAAACCAGTGTTAAGTGATGAACTCGGGATTCGTGAAGCAATATTACACTGGCTGGACAAAATCATCTCTGCAGGAGGCCCACTCACCTACTTACTTATTGCTCAGACAAAGTGAGAAACTCCATCAGCAGAGGAAGGCCAGACGATGTGGATGAAAGTTTTGCAAAAAGCATGTAAACCTTGTGTTAAGAACATTGTATAAAAGAAGTGGACATAATGTGAGGCCAATGCAGAAATGCCTTAATTCTTTCTAATGGCAAGCAGGGTGACTCCACTGGTGGCCTCAGTCTCTAGTTTCAAGTCTTCTTCAATACAGTGATTTTCATTATGTAAATGATGGTCCCATTTACAGTAAAAAAAATAAATAAATAAAATAAAGCACAGAATAAAGCTTTCACATATCAAACTGTGTTTTAAAGAATTTAAGCCTCTCTGGGATACTCTAGGGCTAGTTAAGATTTCACGAGTTAGTGGTTTTTGATTTATACAGGGTCTAAAGTGGTCTAGGTAATAGACTTTTTCACAAATACATTAAAAGTTATACAGATTTGAAAGTGGGTCTCAGACAGCATTAAGGTTTTACCTAAAATGTGTAACACGCTTTCAAGAGACGCAAACACACGGAGGACTGGTAGCTCAGCAATGTAAGTCAAGTTTCCCTTAAAGTTTCCCCTTAACTTAAAGTAAGTTCAGCGTTATTGTTCACTCACTCATTCATTCCCAAATAAACATTATTGCATGTTTATCCCACCAGCGTCCATCTGGTAATTGTTATGTTGAGTCATGGCTTAACGTTACTACTACTTCAAACACAATGTTTATTCTATTCAAGGTAGGGCATTCAGTTAAGGGTGACACTGTGATGGTATCGTTGGCGGCATTCAAAACACTTAACCGTTAATGCTTTTTCTCACCCTCCCACAACTATGCTGCTTCCTATACCGTTAACAAATGACCCTGCATTTAAAAAAAAATGATTACACTTAACAATTTCGAGACAATTTGCCGAAGACTTCAGAACAGCAAAAATGTTCTTTCAGCCTACGTAAGAAACGTCGTCGGGCTAAGCCAATCAGAGGCAGAGTAGGGCGGGGCATACCTTCGCTGTAAGCTCTTTGATAGGTCCATGGATCGGACTCGCAAATTCTCAAACTGGATACCGGACTCAAAGATGGCGCGTATTTCTTTTCTTTTCTTTTTTTTTTTTTTAAATCTTTATTTCATCTCTTAGACATTTTATAAGCAAGACAAAAGTATATAAAATAACAAAACATAACATGACATAACTAAAACTAAAGAACAAAAAACACAGGAGTATCATGTGACAAACAACAAAGGCATTACAGAAAAATATTTAAATCTTAACATATTGTAATTGTTTTGCATTTACTGCTTTTTCATTCTTTAAAACAAATAAAGTATTAAAGATGGCGCCTATTCAGTCCAATGAGAATTGCTTGCCTAACGCCAATTAAGTTTGAAGCGTCCTGGATTAATTCTGCCGTGCTAAAAAAGAAAAAAGGGTCTTTACAATTTATAAACAGATTTTTCAATTGTTCTTCTTGGTGCCAGACTTATTGGACTTGAAGCCTATGGGAGAAGCAAGAAGTATACTCAAACTTAGCCTAACGTTTACTTCCTGTTAACTTTCATGAAGAAATCCTCTACCAAATGAAAGAACAAACTTCAGAAATAACTACATGGAGCAGTCGGGTCCATAAAACTAACATAAAACTTACATGGAGATATAGTATTTAGTTAATATACGAATCAAATGAAATATACCTTGAAAACTCATGAAACATTACCTGAATAGGTACCTCTATCACCTGGCCTGATAAACTGTTAATCAGTAAAGTATACTAAACTAAATTTCAGAGGGAAATACTGTTCTTTCTCCACCAAGTTAACTTTGCAGATTCAGATTAATAAGAAAATGTAGTTATGCAACACTAGTAGAACATATGTAATATAGTTAATAATGTGATGATGTTAACTAGGACTGCAACATGTTAGGGTTATGATTATATATATAGCATTGATAATTTTACCTATCCCCTTCATGTAAACTGCAAAGACTGGTTTCCCTACATTTACATGCCCCTTGTAAAGCCATCAACTGATCCATGACAACAGAGTGAGTGCATTGCAAGTTTATTGTACAGTACACAGTATGTACAAAAAGCCATCACAAACAAAACATGGTAACAGTCATCTTTTACATGCTTAGTCAAAATAATGCTTGTTTCTTTAGAGAGAAATGTCAATCTGCTCTCATAAGGCATACACCAAAAATACTCGTGTAAAGTGTAGGTATGCATATTGAAATGTCTAAACTGAGGTTATGTGGATAAACATACATATAATGTGCATGAATGCTTCTCAAGTATTTCACATCAGGTGTGTAACAGGACATTGTTATGGTTTGGCAAACTTATATGGTCCCATGTCAATACAATCAGTCCACCTAAACAACAGAGTTTCTGCTTAAAATGTTAAGGGAAAATAATAATATAATTTTGCAATAATGTGTAAATTGGACCTCATGTATTCCCCTCAAAGCCTTGTTATCAAATGTTAAAACAGAAAAAGTACTGCAAGCTGCTGCATTTCAGCAATCCAAAATAAAATGAGCATACAGATAAAAAATAATGTGAAAAGTGAGATTACACAAAAATAGGTCTATTGATGGAGTGAGCTCCCCTCCCTCACAGAGGGAAACGCAGGACTGTCTTAGGGACAAAGAATCACACTGCAACTGTGAGACCCCCAGCCCAGTAAGGCCAACAGCTTCAAGTGCAAACATTGGCCATATCCTAATGAATAAGTCACAAAAGTGTTTAGTGCAACACAGCTGTCAGACCATACACAAGATGAAATCTTAGGTCTTCAGACCCTGAAGCCTTTCTGACTCAAACAAGTCTTGTGGAATTTAATTTTTTTAGTTGTTGTAAACTGGTCTGATGTAGCTGCCAGTTGTTCCCCCAGGAAGGAAGGTCCTGTGCATAGCCAGCCAGCAAGTTGATCCACTCTCATGGAGAGAGGAGACTTAGAGGCGAGTTGTCCATAATGTATTCGCCAATGCCAACAAAGTACATAACCTGTGCAATGCCAAACAGAGGAGCAATGACCAGAGCTCGACAGCCGGCACCTTTAAGGAAGGCAGACGGTCCCTCCTTCCGCATAATTTTACTGTGAGAACCAGAGGAATGGGTTTATTTATACAGATGCACAAAAACAACAGAAGTTTAGTTAATGTAACAATGACTGACTCAACTATCTTACCTCACACAGTCCATAACGCCATTGTAAGTCTCCTCATTGGACCCTTTGTTCAGCGACTGCAGTCTAGTCTTCACCACTGGATAAAAAAAGAAAGATTAGCATTCCTGAAACATTACAGAGGTACTACTAATAAAACACTACACAACATGGCTGACAGGGCTCTCAAAACTCACCATCACAGGGGTTAACAGCCACAGCGGCAGTAGATCCGGCCACACAGCCTGAGAAGAAAGCCCAATAGAAGGGTGATGACTCCTCAGGCCTGGGTTTGCCCAGGCTGTTCAGGTTGGCAAATAACGGGAAGTAGACAACAGAAAAGGGAACATCCCTGAAAGAAATTAAACAAAGTGGTTATTCATACTGAAAACCTGGTTCAAAAGTAACTGGTCTAACAAGTTAACATGGTTCCTCCTCAGAGGGGAATAAGAGTTTTACCTCATTAGTGTTGCCCCCAGACCTTTGTAGAGCCCCTTGATGCCCTGCGTATACAGGAGTTCCTTTGCGATCTGTGTGGCAGATACAGCTCGTGGTGCTGAGACCACCATGCCAGAGTTGTAGGAGCGGCTGAGCACGGTGTTGGTGGCCACAATCTTGGTGGCCGACACCATGACTGGCTTTTGCTGCTGGGCCGCTTTGGACAAAAGACAAAAAATTATTTAATATACACAAGATACCATTGCCGCTAAGAAGCAGTGTTTGTAATTAAATGTCGACACAGATAATATTCATTATCAACTTTGTATTCTTCTCACCAAGTCTGCCCGCATCCTGTAGCTGTATCTTGAGCATTTCCATGGGGGTAGTGACAATGACCTGACTCATTCCTGCACCACAACCTGCCAACATCTCTTTCAACACAGTCAGCCCCTTTCTGTTGACAGGAGAAATATTAAGCAACACAATTGATGGGAAACTGTATTTTATTAAGATGAGGATTTCATGAGATGATTTTGCTTACCCATCCTTGGTCAGATGATGTCTGAAGAAGTCATTAGCAGCCAGCTTGATAGCCTTCTCAGGAGTGACCAGGGTCAGATTTACAGCAGCACCTGAGAAGGAAAAAAACCCCAAACAGTTAGCACTAAAGTCACAATCACGTTGCCATTTAGAACTTTTACAAAGACATTCCCTACAACTATCATTTCAAACATTATAACGTAATAAGTCCATTGTATAGCTGATGTACACACAGGCAAGTCAAATGCTCAATTTAAAAGTAGCTTCAGTCATGATGATTGAAAGAGATTACAGCAACAGAAATTACATCCAAAACATGTTTAAGAAGGGAAATGAGAAACACACCAAAACACAAGACAGAAGTAATGAGGGTTGTGAATATCCAGAGGAAGATGCAAAAAATAAATAAAAAAAAGACTATGAAGTATAGTGAAGTCAATTTATGGTAAAACAAACAAAAAAGAAAAAACACACATTAAGGAAATTTGTGTATTAAAAAGTCTACAAAAAGTAAGTAGGTTAATGACAACAACAACAGACCAGACAAATCAAGAGACATTAGTGAAATGAAGAAACATTAGTAAAATAAAGAGACGTTAGTGAAATAAAGGGATATTAGTGAAAGGACAGATCAAATCTTCAACCATGTATTGTGTGCGCAGACTTTGGGCAAGCTTAAAAACTCATCTGTGAGACTGTTGAGCAGCTAAAATAAACTTTAGTTCCCCTAGATTCATTTTCAAGATCAACCAAGATCTGCAACGACACAATTCACTGTATATAAAATGGAGGATCTACAACAAGTGGACAGGAAAGTGAAGAGAAAGCCAAGTAGTTATTAACAAGTAGTCAAATTATAGAACATATAGATGGTAAAACAAAAACGTGTGCCTATAGTTTAATAGAGCAGTATTGTAAGAACCATGTAACGATTTGCCTCCAGCGTGGCTGCGCCTTATCGGCTAGCCTTCAATATCCCAGGGGGACCCAAGTCTGTAATATGAAAAACACAGATGCAAACAGCATTCCTCACACAAGCAGAGACCCAGACTACAGGTCTCAATTTTCCTCATAGTTAACTATGTCCACAAGATCTTACTTTTCTACATTAAAATCAATGAACTTATAATTAAACAGGACATGTGTTTACTGTATGAATAATATTTTTAAAAAGAAACACCAGAGCTTAAAGCCCCAGAACCACTTTGCATGATAGCAGCTTTGGCCACTCCTCCTATACAACATATTCCAACTCATAATTATATATTTTTTAGTAAATCAAGCATCCCATGCACTCAAAATTCACTGTATCTGAACCCTGGGCAGTATGCACCCAGTTCTAATCACGTAATCAATGTTTAGCCTCACCATAGAAAGATCTTGCCCTCCCCTACATGTTCGAGCCTACTGGTTCTTAATATTCAGATGTGAAGAAGTCTTACCTCTGTACATGCCAAAGTACCCCTCTGATCGAACCGTTTTGACAAGGCAGTCCATCCTACAGAAGGAGAAAGAAAGAAACATATCAAAAAAGAAAACATTTTACAGAAGCTTAGTTATTGATTTATCACAATGAGCTTCACAAGGGTCAGGGAACAGTGACTGTTCTAAGAAACATGGACGCTGAGGGGGTAAACGGAGCAGTACATTTCCACCCTTCAAAAGGCATTTAGACCACCTCCCTGGAGAGGAATGAGAAAGATGAATGGTCGTCATGGTCCATCAAGTCAGGAATGTCCCTAATTCTACACATTCATCCTGAGGCCCTGCATGTGTCATTGTGGGATTAGCAAAGATAGTATTGGATTATATGTAGACGTAGTAGGTTTAATGCCAAGAGATTTGGCAAATAAGAGTGTTGCTGTGGATGACAACAGAAGCTAAAAATACTTACATGCCCTTGTAGACCTGCTGACCTTGTCTCTGATTCTGCAACCTGGTCTTTGCCAAGTCAATGGGGAAGACACAAGTAACCCCGACAATGCCAGCAATACCGCCATTGATGAGTTTGGCTGGGAGGCTGAAGTAAGTCAAAAGAAAAGAATGCCAACATTTAAAATGTGGAAATTAATTTCTAACTGAAATAGTGAACAATTCACTGGGGATAGGTTAATAATTTGGGCTGAAATGAAAGTTTTCTGGACAGCTTTTGAATTGTGAGGATGTGACGCTTTTCTCTGTTAAATTCAATCTGTCTAGCTTGTGGACAACTATGGGAAACAGTGATGGACATTTTTCACTCTTACGGACATAGGGAAAATTATCATTATCAACATTTAATGAATATAATAACTATATAATGTAATGAACCATCAATTAAGACTACACACACACACACACACACATACATGAGAAGCTGATATTAGGTAATGTTTGGCAATTTGTGCTTGAAAAAAAAAAAAACCCTCAGTGGTCAAAATAGATCTACAACTCTCTTGTCAATGGACTGTAATGAAATTACATTATACTAGGCTAATTATATATATATAGAACTAGAATGAATGACACTCACCTGATCTGCTGCTGAGACATGTTGACTTTAAAAAGGTGAAGAGAGAAGTGTAAAATGTAGTGATGTAGATCCAAGTGTTCTTCAGTCAAATCAATGAGTAGAGTCCTAGACAGAGAACACGTTAAGGGGTTATATAACACAGAATATGTGGGCAGGTTTTTGAGATCTCACAGACGTATGTACATAGAGCTTATCCCATCCGCAGCAAACGCGTTGGCTTATCTAGGTTCATGCAGAATCACGGGACAGTGACGCAGCAGCTCCGCTACTTGCAACATGAGTAGTACAACCATGAGTACAACCGGTGGGCGTGTTCTTGCTCACATGCCGGAACACCATAAACGGTCATTGCACCTTTCAGACATTCTTGATACTGATCGAGAGCGAGAGTTTGAGCTGAATTTCCAAGTAACATGCAGGCAGCGGTGTTATCTTTGATTAACTTCGAGTTTTAAAAAGCGATCACACCAATGCTCAATAATGACAAAGAGCTTTCGTTCCGTCTTTTGGTACAAATATTTCCCTTTATCGCATTTAAAATAAAATGTTCTGCATTTGTTTATTAGGTTAATCTTCAATTGCAGAAAATGCAAGAGATGAGTAGTTAAAAATAAAAAAGGGGTAAAATCCATTTCTACACAGCTTCGTTTCAACAGCTGTTACTCTCAGTTTCACACATTACGGTTGGTTAACTCAGGTTAGCAGGCGGCAGCTCAAGATCCCCATTCAGAACAATGCTCTTCCTAAAACACGAACAAGTTGGCTTTCACGAATAATTTAATGACTTTAAAACACATACTGAATTACTTAAACAATAATTCAAAAGCTTTTACTTACCAGGAGATTGTCTGGTAGTTATTCTTTAGGATTGTTTCGAGCCGTTAATGTCTACTTCCGTCTACCTTGCCGGGCGCTTCTGCTAATATAGCTGTGAGTAGAATGGCTGGAAATTTCCATTGAGTTTTAAGCGCCGGGGTGGGGGGTAGGGACGGACTCACCCAAATGCAACCAATCACAGCTTACTTAGCTTGCACGCTAAGAATTCATTGGGGAAATTTGACCTTCCACTTGCTTTATTGGAGGATAAATCGATCAATCAAACTGTCCAACCAATCATACAGTTACAAAGATGTTTTAGGGTGTGTGGAGAAATACACTATTGTTTGCCCTAGACTATAAAAAAAAGAGGTTTGACGGGAAATTGTTATGGTTACAAGTTAAGGAATATGGATACAAATGCCAATGGTTAGACATTTTTAAGGGTGAGGTCAGTGAAAGGGTTGTGAAAAGGATCATGAGGTTAAGATGAGATCACTCTTCTAAGCATGTTGGTTACACCAATGAGATGACATCATTTATTCTGTTGCATTCTAGTATATTCTATTCAGGTGCATATTGTTTGGTCCTAGTGGTGCAAAACAACTACCTACACGATACATTAGTAAATACACTACAAGCACTATTCTGAGGTACCTTAACTTGCATAATGCTGCTTTGTACTTATACAAAGTAAAATAAGTTTCGGAGACTGATGAAGAATTAACATAGCATGGTTTGTTGAGCCCGGCTGAGGAGATACAGTGCCAGCATACAACATGTGAACACGTCAAATGCCAACACCAAATGTGAAGGATAACATCTTTTGGTCCCTTTTATGTTTCTGTCTTCCCCCTAGTGCTTGTAGGTTTCTCTATTAGGTCATCTTTCACCTAGAACAACTGTCTATCTAATCTTTGTCTGACTCCCATGCTTCGTCATACTGGAATACATCACTATCCATGAGTTGTACTCTAATCTGTGGAGCCAGTGAGTTCTTGTAAACATTCTTGCAGGACTCAACCTTGTAAGATTCCAAGAGAACACTGACATCTGCTAGCCTGACGCCTGAGCTACTGTCTCTAATTAATCAGTCTATTGTTATCTTCCTGACAAGGACAAGTACATGTGAGAACTACCTAAAGCTAGAATGTCAGAAAACATTTATGCGATTAGTTAAATTACTCTAAGCCATACCTATCTTACCTTTCCCTGTTACATCAACAACGCCCCTTGAGAAATATTCTCAACAGCTAGTTACTTCATAGATTAAGATACACACAAAACATGCCATCAGTTTATAAAATATGATACTGTTAATAATGAATTACCAAACAGTATGCCACATAGTTACAATTAGCTCCCTTTTGACTTGTAACAACATTAAAATGCTGCTTACATGTTAATGCATCAGTAATAACAATAAAATAATGTAATATACAACAACTACAATTTATACAACTCTGATATGTAACCATTTCCTGCATTATGGGTAGTGTTTTAACTGAATTTTGCTGATAACTAAAGTAAGGTTGTAAATAATCTTACTTGTAATGGAGTATCTTTAAATTGGGTTATTGCGACTTTTACTTAAGCAAAGTATCTAAATACTTCTTCCACCACTGATCCTGGTTCTTTCATGTCGTCCTTCAGAAGGACACATGTAGGTGGGGGAGCTGAGGCGTTTTCCCCTCTCTCTGTTGACATGTATCCAACAGGTTTTGCTGGAAAAGCAACAATACCCAGTGAATTCACCTTAGATAAATAAATGTAAAAAAGTAAAAGTACTGATGTGTTAAGACAAACCTATAGCTTGTCTAGGTTAAATCAGGAACAAAAGGTAGTCTATTGAATTACTCAAAGGAATTTTCATGGGTTTAGACACACCATCTGGTAAATTCTACTGAATAGGGTCAAGTTGCAGGAGCTCACAGTACCAAGCTGCATAATATGCAAAACAACTTGCCAATGCCAAAGGCAAGAGGCTTCTTGTTAGCTTTGGAAATGGGTCACCTGAGAGGTTGGGTTTAAAGGTATAGACACATTCCAAGGCATTAGGAACCTGTTTTTTTACTGCTGATACATGACTGATGTTGAAAAGTTGTGTAACTCTGGGTGGGATGTACAGGTTTTAGCCAGAATCTTTTGTGTTTAAATGTATGTCAGCTTGAAACAAACAGCCAAACTCCTAGTCACCCAGTTTTCTTAGAATAGGCGAAGCCGAATCAGGAATCAGATAATCAAGGATCACAAAAACAGAAGATAGAAGAAGATACATTTCCCAGGGCTTGGGCTGACTGTCTGTTTTGTTAAAGGTTTTGAACAATTTTGTAGATGTTCAGGATCTGAAATAATCTACATGATATAAAACAGTATTCTGTTCAATAGAAAAACTTACTAGATTGATACTAAAGAACATTTATTCATATATATCATTGATGTGTATGCTCTTGCGCTGGAACTAGTGTATGCGTTACAATGAAGGTTATAAAAATGTATTTTTGTCTTCAACAATATCTCTCCATTCTTCTTGTGCATGTGTGATCTAGCAAATATAGCGGAACTACATTATAAGAGGCATCAATAGTTAATAATGTCAACAATACTAAGGTCATTATTGAGCCATGCTAGTAGCTCTGTAAGGCTGTACTTAGGAACAGTGGTCCTGGACGCTAAATACAAACACATATTAATTCAGCATTTTAGTATAATTTGCTACCCCAACCAGCAGTATATTTTCTGTCGCTTATTTTTATTGCATTTGGCTTACTGGAAAGCATATGGCTGGTTCACAATAAATACCAACCAGATATTTGTCAATAAAATGCTTTTAATGTGAAGGAGTAGCAGCACGAAATGTGCATTAGGTTTGCATTAGAAATTTGTTCTTCAGCTGCATTAACAGCTCAAATATGTTGTTCGAGAGTCAGACCCTTAGTTAAAGAAAGTGACGGGACTTTTTACTATACTGCTATGAGCTTTTCAGTGCACCTATATTAAGTAAGAAAAACAACATATTTGTGGCCTCTAGTGAGATAAATTGGGTGTTTGTTTCTCTATGACCAGCAGGATATTAAACTGGAGCTTAGTGTACAGCACTTTACAGTATTTTTCTAATCTAGTGAGTTTTAAAATACTGGATATTCAAACACAGTGCTAGTTTTCAAGTTGGGACATACGAAGAAGGAATCTAAGAGACACGACAATAAAGTAAACGTCCAGGCCTGTATGCCTTATTGATTAGCCTTGGATTTAATAATAATAATAATAATGTGGACGTTTTTGCACAGCGGAAGGGTAAAGCAGGCAAGACAGCTCACTCTGTGTTCATGTTTATGTTACATAACAATTCTTAGGTCCTGTATTATTCCAGTGAATGCAGAGACATTTAATCCATAATCACAAAGGTGAGCCTCGTGGTGGCACTAGAAGAAAGGTCAGGGAATCATTAGGATTCATCCTCTAGGAACCATGACTGTCTGTACAAAAGTTTGTGCAAATCCATCCTCTAGATGTTGAGATATTTCAGGATAAGTAAAAACCTTAACCAGCTGGGGGCGCTACAGGAAAAGTCAGGAGACTCTGGGCACCATTAATATCTACCACATTTCATGAGAGTTCATCCAATAGTTGTCGAGATAGGCCACTGAATACCAAAAATGGCTACCTGCTGGTGGCACTAAATTAAACAGCGGGGATCACCAAAGATTGCAGGAGTCTGTACTAAATTTAATCTCAGTCTGTCAGTAGTTATCACAGCCTGTTTCACCCAACCAACAGACTGACATTGCCATCCCTAGAGCTACTAACATGGCTAAAACATTTCTCACATTTTTTGTAGTTCAATTATCACAAAACAAACAAAACTTTGTGGTTTGTCTGAATGAAAGAGTGGTCGGTATGTGCGCCGCATTGCTGGGTCTCTTGGAACGCTGATGGAAGCAAATTCCATTTCATCCACTGCTTTATCCATTAGGGTTTTGAAAACACCGTCACACAGGGAATTGAAGCAGGGCAATTCAAACCATTGTGCCATATCAGCCTGATGCTTTTAAAGTCATCTCAGGTCAACTGTTAGTATAAAGTATACAGCATAATTAACACCCTGGTAATGTGAAGTAAAACCATGCTACATCATATAGATAAAATTAACCCAATTTTAACTGCTTAACAAATATGGGTCAAAGGAAAAGAAGCAGTACAGAATTTGATATACACTAACAGACAAAAACATAAACAGACTACAGATCATACTGTGGATATGAAACTCCGCCATTTTGTCAGCTGACTGTTGGCAAGGTTAAACAGAGTGTCTGATTGTCAGAAGCTGTACAAGCTTCCTCGAGGTTATAGTGACTCAGCATTTTCTTGTTTTCCATCTATGGGAATGAGGATTAATGCAGATGGTGGTCACTCTTTCAGTAAGAGGAGAATTGTCAGTACCCATTGAACGAACCCTTTAAATCAAATGTTTTGCAGGCATTTAGTTTAGTTCACCAGCTTTCTATTCTATATTTTATATTTTACTCTATTCTGATCAAAATGCTACAAAATGTGAGAAGCTGCAGAACCAACAAATAAGACCGATAAAGCTCAGTTACATGAAGCAACTGTCTGACCCAGTGTTTTCATTCACAAAGAGACACTTTAATATAGAAACTGTCACGGATAGAAGACTGCTTCGATATACAGAAGTAACAGAATATAAAATAAGGTGATGAAGACAATGTCACAGAAATCCACATGATGGACACATTCTCCCACTCCGAACTGCTGAGCTATTAATAAGCTCCAGCTGTCTTCCCAAATTCCACTTGTGAATGGGAAACAACTCATATACTCTACTTGGGCTGGGACACAATGAACACAGTAAAACTCACACTGTAAATTTGGTGTTAGGTGACTCTATGCCTGATCTTTGTGGTTCAACATCCTCATTGATTTTATAAGAAGTGTGTCAACAATCATGTGCCTTCCAGAATGACTCTCGAGACAAATATAGTATGCTGAGGTGACGCTGTGGAACGTCATGGCCTTATGTTTGTTATGTAGTAAACAGAAAGCAATGGTCCCACACACAATGTGATTAAGTCAAGCACAGCTTAGTCTGAGAGCTATTTAGAGACTTCAGCTTTAATTGAGTTGCACTCAGAGTATCCCCTTTCAGAGTAAACATAATAAGCACAAGAGTCACACACACACACAAGTGTACAGGGCGATAAATAATGAAGCTGACAAAAAATGCAACTGGGCCAACCCCCCATTGTAAACTGAGAAGCAGAGCTTCAGCACAGACAGGTTGGGCAACAAAGGCACAATAAAAAGAGGCTGGTACAGTAGTTAGGCCTATCAGTACAGACAGTGCAGATGTAACTGTATCCATCCCAAGCTAAAGGATGACATCAAACAAAATGCAACATTGTTAACAACAATGCAACAATTTTAATGAAAAAAGAGACAAGCTATGAACGATAACAGAAGAATCAGAAAGGGATCAAGTAGTTGCTCTGTCCAGGGTATGGGTAGATACGTCTGACTGGTTTGGTACACCTAGCTCCGTCCACGCTGGCCCTGTGTGCACACTCGTCGCTGTCTGTCTTGCAGGCACCACAGTGGCAGCTGAGAGCCACAGGGTAGGTGAAGACAGGGTTGGCATCGACGGGACAGCCGGGCAGTATGGCTGCACGGTATTCCACCTTGTCGTAGGTACAGCCTCTCTGGATAAGAAAGCGTGGGCCGAGTATCTCCCTCATGTTGCTGTCCTGCTCACCATACACAAACACATGAATAAATTTATACTTATATTTGAGATGATAGTAATTCTATTTGGGGTGTTTGTTTTCAACTGAAATTGGGGGGAAAATGGGCCCAGAATAGTTACCTTTTTTTTTTACTTTTCAATTAATGTGCTTCATGTTGTACTTATGAAAGGAATAATACCTGAAACGTTATATGTTGAAACAGGGACTAAGATTTGCTGTGTTTTTGTATAAAATCTCTTTTACAATTTTAATCTTCCTGCAAAATATTGGTCAGATGTTAGTTATTTTCCACATTATAACCACAGTTTAAAACGTTCCGTTAAAGATGTCATAATGTTTTTTGAATGTAAAGACCCCCATTAAGTTCATTGTAAATGTTATTATTTAATGTGAACATTTTTTAGCAGAAATGCTGTTTTTCTAAAACATTACCTTTGTGTTACTCTTTTCCTTCATTATTTCACATATTTAGTAAATTCCACAATTTAAAAAAAACAAGATGTGTATATGAAATTAAATGTCATAACTACAGTTTTTAAAATAGTTTTACAGTATTTATAGTTTTAATACAATTAAATCAGTCTTTATTCTATTATATTATCTTATTGTGTTTCTGTATATAAGTTATTTTTATTTTCTTTAGGCGGAGCGGTGGCTCCGTGGATAGCAATGTGGCCTCACAGCAAGAAGGTCCTGCGTTCAAACCCCAGTCAAGTTTGCATGTTCTCCCTGTGGGTTTCCCCCACCATCAAAAACTTGATAGGTTCTCCTGTCAGTGCCATTCACGACAGCACCGCAGTGCCAATAAAGTACCTTCCCTTTCTACTGCATATTTAGTTTCACGTGATTTGATTGTACTTTTGGATATATGTTTTGAATAAAAACCTTTTTTGAAAGAAAAAAAGTTTATTAAACGTAGATTCCCACCTTCAAGCCAATCAGAACTGAGAATTTTTACTGGCCATGGTATAAGAAGAAGAAGTAGAAGACATACTTTATTAATCCCTCAAGGGGAAATTCAATGTTTTTTCACTCTATTGTTAATGTCAGTATATAATACACACACAGGTCTGAAATAAAACACACGCACATAAACATGGAGAGACGTCAGAGAGGGGGGCTGCCACTCAGTGCGGCGCCCCGACCAGTCAGGGGTTCAGGGGCTTGCTCAAGGCCACCTTCGGCAGTGCCCAGGAGGTGAACTGGCACCTCAGCTACCAGTCCACCCTCCGCAACTACTGCCACCCAACCTTCTGTCCCTTTTTACACCTGAAGAAATGAATGACAATCTATTCTTTCACCACAAATTACATACATACCCTTGAGTAGCAAAATCCCATGCAGATGGTAGTGTTGATGGCCACACAATAGTCGCACTCTGGCCTCTCCACATAAAGGGTGAAGTCAGTGGGTAAACACATGGGAACAGCTGGGCTGAAGAGCAGAAAAATGAGCCAGCAGGTGAACACTGCAGTCTCCATGTTAAGCAATGTTATTTTTCTCAATCAGTTTGGAACCTGCATAGGAAAGAAAGAGACAAATTGACAACCAGATAACAGAGTATCAAAAGTTTAGCATCTGAAAAATTATTTGTTCCCTTCTGCGTATGGGAGTCACCTGCTCGACAGACGTGGGAACCTGCAGTCCTGACGATGCTGTGAATCTGAACAACCCTGCTGAACAGTATTTATGCAAAAATAATTCACCTTCATCAAAGCTAGCTTATCTTCTATCTGTGACGAAAAGGAAGAACTGAACTCAGTCCATTATGTGGATGACATGAATAATTTCCTTCATGAACAAAGATCATGCAGTAACCAAGGAAACTGACACAAAACAGCATCCACTAGATGTCACAAAATGCCCCAAAGCTTTATTTCTGCTTGAGAGAATTATGTAAAGTGTCGCTTAAATGTTAACCTGAGTTTTACCTCATTTTCCAAAACAAACCTAATCTGAGAAAAGAAAGAAAAATAACTGAAAACTGAAGAAGCAGCACCTCTTGTAACACAAAATATTTCAGATTTCACACTTTCTGAGTGTGTAAGTCCAAATCCTGCTTCGTGCATTATGGGTTACAAAAATCGACACCAGTCAGCAATGTGCACAAGTCAATTCACAAGCTGCCACAGTTCAAACCTGTAAGGAACATAAGTGGAAAACATTCAGAGCTAGGTTATCTAATCTGCTCTCACAGGAAGTAAAAAAAGAGCAGACATCAGCATTTATCTCTAAACAAATTCTTCAGATACAGACTTCAACATACTGACAAGTCACTGCCTTGGCTTAAAAAGTGAGGAGTACAATTATCCGCCAAACACTGCCAAACTACAGGGATTTACTTATCTATATTTTTGTTTAATGATTGTCGAGGATAGTCAAAGTCTCTCCAACACATTAAGTCATCATTGTAAAGCATTTTAATGTCACTGTTGTTTGTTATTATTTTCTCTGTATTTATAGTTCAATATGATTCCTACAGACAAACACTTTTCTTGGCATTCCTGGGCTGTGTCATAATTGGGCTCACAAATACACTGGACAGACTGATGTCCTCTTTTTCATTTCAATATCAGTACTTCTTACTGACTTTAAGTCCTCATCTAATGACACTTTTACAATGGATATGGTTAACTGGGTTTAAGGTCAATGTCCATTTTAGCAGCTCATTTCATCTACCTCTTATACCTACTCAAACATTAACAGTATCTGCCATTTTACATTAACCTTCTAAGTTTACTGGATTTGATGCTCTCATTAAGAGGGACTTCAGTGAACTCAACCATAACATCTCTATTCATTAGATTACTCATCTGACAAGTAATCACACTTAATATCTATTGTATTGACAAATGTCCTCGACAACATCTTACACCTACTTTTTTCATTTTCAATGTTTTCTTGCTGTAGTTGTTACCACCCCACCCCCTACACACACCAATGTGTTTTTGAGTTTGAAATGACACACTTGTCCATGCATCACTGGGCTGATAATCCAATATAGACCTTAGATGTACTAAATAAAGCAATGGTAATCACATGTGACACATAAAAAAGGATGTGACAGTAGGAGTAGTGACCCAACCTTGAAGATTTACCCTGCCTCGCCTGTGGAAATTCCTTACATAGACAATATCTACTGATAAACCTGGAGCTGTATAAAGACCCCTCCTGGATGGGTCACTATGTCATTTCATTTCATAAGAAATGGAGACATCTTGAAAACAGGGAGTCTCAGGCCTCAGAACACGCTCTCAGGCACACCACAGGATCACTACCTTTTACAATCACTGACAGTTTGGCTGACCTCAGTGTCTTTGATGGATTATTAACTAAAGTGAACTCATTTTAATAGTCTACTCAGTCTATAGTTTATCCAGAGTGGACCAAACTCCTGCCACTTGCAGGAGATGTATTTCTCATTGTTCTTCAATCAGTTGGAGCAACTTATTGGCAAAGCAGAAAACAACATCTCGGATTTTTCTATTCTTTGCTGAAGGTTTGAAGACAAACTTTTAGTATGAGTGCAGCTTATTTAATTGGATCTGACAGTTAACGGTCTGAAATGCACTGAAAAGCATTTTTTTTGCTGTAGTGTTAGTATTAATTAGTATTAGTGTTTTTCCTCTTGGTATTGATATATGTGACAAATTTAGGATCATTTAGAAGGAAGAACATTAAACGTTAGCAAGATTGCATGATACAGAAATCCTTCTGAATCTAAGCATTCTTAACAACAGTCAAGAGAGAAGTTATAGTAAAAAGAAAGTTCCTTCTGCCAAACTAACCATGGCTGGTACAGGTGGTCCAGTGGCCACTTTCTCTGTGTGGGATTATGTGGTGTTTGCTGGAACAATTTTGGGGGCAGCTGGCATCGGCCTTTTCCAGGCCATCCGAGGACGTAAGGAGACCAGCAGCGCCGAGTTCTTGCTGGGTGGACGGCAAATGACAGCTGTGCCGGTGGCCATGTCACTCACTGCCAGCTTCATGTCTGGCATCACAGTCATTGGCACACCTACTGAGGCCTACCGGTTTGGAGCCGCATTCTGGCTCTTCGGCTTCTCCTATGCCATCATGTCCGTCATCACTGCTGAGATTTTTGTCCCTCTTTTCTATAGACTGGGGATCACCAGTGCCTATGAGGTAAGGAAATGTCATTGTTAATTATTATAATGGTACAAAGGCTAACTGACAGGTGCAGCAGCAATACCATAAAATGTAAAGATCAATAAAGCAAGGGTGATTTATTGATAGGCCATAAAAATACAAGACAAGTAGCTAATGATTCATCCACTACCATGACTGGTTTAAAATGGATCAAAATACAGATACAGAATCAAGCTTCAAAAGTGTTTCCTCCAAATGGTCAACAGACACTGAAATTACAATTTAATATTGTGTAAATCGGGAAGTATAAACGTAAACACTGTATGTGAACAAATCACAGGTTTACTGATATCTGTATTGATATGTTTTCCTTCCATTCCTAGTACCTGGAGATGCGCTTTAGCCGGCCCATTCGGGTCATTGGGACATCAATGTACATAGTACAGACGGTAACTAAAACATGATTTTATTTTAAAAGAAGAATATTCAATAACATTTTGTATTTAGATAATTAAAAACTAAAGTTACAAAGCCATGAAGAATGGAACAAACATCCATAATTATACTGAAAAGCACTCGCCCTTTTGTCTTTTTTGATATCAATTCCAAGATTAACATGAATGACATGCTTGCCTTGTTTCCACCCAATCAACTAATAGTGGAAATCTTTTCTCAGGCCCTGTACACCGGATTAGTCATCTATGCTCCAGCTCTTGCACTAAATCAAAGTAAGTATGTACATGGGCTATTGCAACAATTAGGAATAAAAAGGTGCCTGTGTTATTGTTGATTTGCGATATTTCACCTTTGCTGCAAACTCTCTGGTCTACCTCTTCTGGACAACAAATGTCTGGACAAACAAGGGTTTTTAAATATTGGCCGTACATAACTGTAACTTAGTAAACTGCAACCAGTTGATACAGTGTTCCGTCTAATTTCGTTATAATTATCTAGTTTGTCCTGAATAACCCTCAGAGGCTGTATACTACTAATACAGTAGCACCACTATATCTCTCGTGTTAAGATGTCCACATGTGTTTTTGTTTGAAATTAAGGAAGTTATTTGCTTGCGTCATGTAGCAAAAGATGGATAAATTTCAGAGACTTTGGCATGAAGTGATTAAAACTGACACACTCTGTACAGCACTTTATGCAACTTCGTGATTGCTGTTAAAGTGCTCTATAAATTAATTTTGATTGACTGATTGATTGACACATGTTGGTAAGTCTCAATAGGCTTATTTTGAAATATGAAACACATTGGAGCTTTTTTTGTTATTACTCAGTCACAGGACTTGATCTATGGGGAGTGCTGGTGGCTACAGGAGTGGTGTGCATCATCTACTGCACTTTGGTTGGTACTGCATATTTCAAAAAGTACTATTATTAGTAGTTTGTATTTCTGTGACTAAAAGCAGTAGTAGCAAATTATGGTTTCTATGACCAATTTTACACTTTGGTATCATCATCCACCTAACAGATCTGCTTGTGAAACTAATGCAAGTTATTCTCTGCTGATAATGAATATTTGGACACATTTTAACATTACAGTTATCCCCAGCTAGCACTAAACTGGAAAGGCTTTACAAAAGTACTTAACATGCTCTAAAATGGATATTGTTTCAGGGCGGACTGAAAGCTGTCATCTGGACAGATGTGATACAGATGGGGATCATGCTGGCAGGTTTTGTGGCTGTTATAACTAGAGGAGCTGTACTTCAGGGAGGCCTGACAAATATTTGGGAAGACGCCAGGCAAGGAGGACGACTAGAGGCGTTTGAGTAAGTACACAAGCAGACTTGTCGCATATAGTTTTCGTTTGTTTGTTTTACCAGATGAATTGGGCATCCTGAATTAGAGCAATTAGTTTCCAGCCACAGGAAAAAAAATTAGATCAGCTTTCATATAATTGTATCCTGTGACTCTTTGCTAGTATCTAGTATCCAAGAAGGGAAACTTTACTGCAAACCATTCTGCAAACAATAATAAAGAAAACGGAATATCAATGATGCCTGTCTGTTGATGTCCCCAAACATCACTTTCAGTATTCTTTCACATGTTGTTGACTTTTATCACAGTTTTGACACAGATCCTCTGAAGCGACACACTTTCTGGACAATAGTAGTCGGTGGCAGTATGATGTGGGTATCTATCTACTCAATCAACCAGTCTCAGGTGCAGCGCTACATCTCCTGCAAAACCTTGGGACACGCCAAGATGTGAGCCTTCTGGCACTGCGGTGCAAACAGTATTTTATTGGCAGGGAGCGAAGGATCATGCACTGACAACTTGTCTTTCATCTCTCAGGTCTTTGTATGTGAACATGGTGGGCTTGTGGGTAACTGTGAGTCTGGCTGTGTTTTCCGGACTTACCATGTACTCCATTTACAAGAACTGTGACCCACTTACCAACGGTGATATAAGCACCCCTGACCAGGTAAAGCAGCTGTAGTTGTCTTTTTAGTCATCATCATATAGACGTCATGTTGTTTGTTATGTAACAAAGCAATATGGTAAACAGTTAAAATATGTCTGTAAACCAGCTGCTACCCTACCTTGTGATGGATATTCTGGCAGTCTACCCTGGAATTCCTGGTTTGTTTGTGGCTGCTGCATACAGTGGTACCCTGAGGTGAGGCCTCAGACAAACAAGGGAAATATTATTCTTTGCTCTAGAAGATAAGATACAAAGATAAGAAAGAATTAGCTGGCAATACCTGGGTGATTTTGTTTAGGTCCACCTCATTGTAGCACTGACGACACTGATTATTGTTGCGTTTACATTTCTAGTCATTTAATTTATACACAATGCAAAAAACTACAATCTGCATGCTACCTCAGACTACTCTTAACTGTTATATAATCTGCATCAGTCATTTTGTTTTGTTCAGTGACTAATAGCTTACCATTGTATATTTTTCAGCACAGTGTCTTCCAGCATTAATGCCCTAGTTGCTGTCACTGTGGAAGACTTTATTCATCCACTGTGCAAAAACCTCACAGAGAAACAGGTGACCTGGTTGAACATGGGCCTGAGTAAGTTGTGTAAAAATTACTTTCACAGTAGCCAAAGAATGAACAGGCATTAGAAAAGCATAAGGTAAAGAGGGACAAACTACTACTAAGGAAAAACCTTTCTGAAGAATGCATTTCCATATCTTATTCATTCACACATATTTAGTATGACTTTATGGTACATTCTGATCATCAATACACACATCAACCTAGACTCCTATAACCCCCAGCCTCCTTGAAGCTTAAAAGACACCAGAAGTCAACAAGATAACATTATCTTATCTTATAGCTTATCTTATTATTCTTAGCAGGTAATTAAAAGTGTTCCCAGTTACTCTGCCCAAGTTACAACATGATCAAAATGTGTAAAACTTAAATGGAACACCGAGATAAACCTGCCCAGGCAGAAACATGTTTGTTCTATTATCTTTTTTGGCAGGTTAAGATTGAGGGTGTGGCTCCACTATCTCATTTTATGTGAGAGGAATTCTGCAGCAAAAACAGCTCATCACTGTATTATTTCAATATAGGGTCAGAACGTTCCTGTTACTTACAGTGCAGTTATATGTGTTAATAAGAACAGGATTGGGGTCACTAAGTTAAATTTAAGACTTTTATAATACTACATAGAAAACAATTTAATACTGGTTTCACAATCAATTTTTAAAGTATAGGCACAATATGGCCAAGAATGATTATTATATCACATTTTTTCCCCAGTACTTTCCATTACTAATGACATGAATAACTACTGTAGCTAGCAGTAGTGACAGTGTTTGCTAGATTTGATTGAAACGTCATAAAAAGAACTGAGCAGGCTCCTGCACTCAATCCACTGTCGAAATAATACCACTTTTGGTTTATAGACATGTACTCCTGACAGCCTGCAGTCAGATAAAAATAAAATAAAACATTTTATAACTAACACTACTGCCTGTGGCGGGCAAGTGAAAATATATAGGACTTTTGTAAATTAAAGACTAAGGAATTTTTTGAAGAAAAGACCTTTTAAGACCTGCAGATTCCCTGTAAAAACCAAGATGCAAAAACAAAGTCAATAAAATTCAGATTTCAATTATATCTATCACAAACTTCTGATGAGCAAATGTGAACAAAAAAAAAAGATATGCACTTGGAAACTTGTGATTACATCATTTCTCTTATTTCAATCATGCTGACTTTAAATTCTCCCAGGTGTATTCTTCGGTGCCCTGTGTATTGGGATGGCTGGAGTTGCTTCAGTGATGGGAAGCGTTCTGCAGGTAAACCTCTCTTAACACCATGCACCAACACCACTGCGGCCATTTATTGCTCTACAGCACCACCAAGAGCTAAATATTAGGAACTACAAGCATGCTGGTCATTTTCTATTTTCAGGCAGCTCTGTCCATATTTGGCATGATCAGCGGGCCTCTTCTTGGACTTTACCTATTAGGCATGCTATTCCGCACATCAAATTCAATAGTGAGTATTTACTTTTACTGGAACATTCACTAGCACAACTGCACCCCCTCACAACACAAAGCAAGCTAATAAAACAATGACACATCCAGGAAGTATTTGACTGCAGTCATTATCTACTTTGCAGGGAGGACTTGTGGGAATGATTATTGGTCTAGTGTTGACTCTCTGGGTGGGGATTGGAGGCCAGATTTACCCACCAACAGATGAAAAGACAAAACCTCTTGGAGTCAGCACTGTAGGCTGCAATGTCACAATGGACCAAAACTACACAACGACAGCTCCGTGGACAAGTCCAGTGACTCTAACCCCGCAGCCTGAGTGAGTCATGTCACATAAAACAAAGGTCCATCAAGCACACGATAGGTTTGGACCAAATAGGAATTTACTGCGGTCATTTAAATGCAGCAAATGAATACAAAGTACAAGAACTTGGAATCCAAGTTTCCGGTACAATGCTAAGTCACGTCTTCTACACAATTTTGTATAGGCTTTAGATGCTTTTCAAATAGATTCTGGAATACAACTGATATGCACAGTGATTAAGTGAAGACCTCCATGGAAAGAAGATCCAAAGATACTGGTCTAGATACCTATAAAACACACTGTATAGTGGAACTACAATAATGAGTTGATTTAAATTTAAATGTTAGGATTTGATGCCTTTCTCTGTTTTATATAATTGTAAACTGAAAATCTTTGGGTTTTGGGCTGTTGGTTGGACAAAACAAGACATTTGAAGACTTGACCAACTGATTAACTGAGAAAACAATTGGCAGTTTACCGTTAGTTGTAGAGCTTCTTCGTTCAGTATGTCATCAGAAAGATGGGGGAATCATGTTGGTGTTGAATAACAGGAGGATAATAATAAAGTGATATCCTTTGTGTGTCAGTGTCAGGCCATATCTGGCAGACTCCTGGTACTCTTTGTCCTACCTCTACTTCTCTCTCTTGGGTACACTGACCACAATTGTGTCTGGGCTGCTGGTGAGCATGATCACAGGTGAGACATAATTTTTTAACCTCTACTCCTCTGCAGAGACAAATCAATGCTTGTAGTCTAAATGTTTTATTCTAAAGCTACCATAAACAGCTATGGGAATGTGTTTCTATTTATTTTAAGGTGGATGCAAGCAAGAAAAATTAGACTCTAATCTGTTTGTGAGGAAGAGTGACCTGATCTGCTTCAGCAGCTGTATTAAGTCAAAGGTAAGAGACTGAGTCTTTTATTAGATTACGGGTAACAAAAAGAGGATACAGTATATGACACCAAAATACACAAGATATTAGTGTTTGCTTAATGTTCTCAACTCACTACAGGTATCAGACGTCACAAAAAAGGCTGCAACAGACTTTCCTATGGAAGCTGACGACTCAGTGTTCACAGACTTTGACGTGATGAGTAAAGATGTTGAAAAAGCCACTAAACTGTAATCCTTATATATCAACATGTAGTTCCTTTGTGGAGACATTTTAATGCCATTTCATTTTATAAACACATAAATGATAAGCCACAACTGTTTTGCTTCTACATCCACCGTAGTTGTGTAGCTGTGGTACATTTGATTTGCAAACTCTATCATCAGTATGTGCCTATTTATGTTGATATAAATTATGTTTTAAATGTGTTACTAAAGTTGAAAATATTTAGATTTTACATGTAGGAGAACAACTTCTTATAAAGCTTGGCAAAAATGAAACTGTAGAATGATATACTTGAAATTATATAATTATAAAAGCTTGCTTATTTATATTGTATTTTCCAATAGAAAAAACAAGAAATATGCAAAAAAAGACATTTCAGTTTCAGAGCAATAGGGAAAAGGACATTAAAAATAATGCAAGGTCACCACATCTTTTGCCACACAACTGAGCGTCTACCATTTCCTGTTAAGCAGATGTGGCAACACAGTTTTCCTTTTATTGCCCTTTGTTCTCCCTGATAGCAGCTAACAGCTCTATATTTACTACCTGAAAATTGTCTGTGCTGACACAGACAGACACACTGGAATACTGTTTATTTTACACTATGTATGATATGATTACTACTTTTGATGGAAGTTGGTTTGGGGTATTTGTTTATTACCTGGTTATTTTTTATATGGAATTGCACTCTTTATGAACTACCTGTAAGAATTAGTCACGAATTCTACTTGTTAATAAACATTTCAAACGAACTGAAAACACAGAAAGACTTCCTCTAAGTGAAGCTCCCCTGAATAAATAAAGGAAAAAAATTTCATGAGAGAGAGAGAGAGAGAGAGAGAGAGAGAGAGAGAGAGAGAGAGAGAGAGAGAGAGAGAGAGAGAGAGAGAGAGAGAGAGAGAGAGAGAGAGAGAGAGAGAGAGAGATTTAGTTTAGGTATTAACTGTCTTTTGTCTCCCTGGCAACATACAATAGAGGAAGTTTACAAAGCACTGACCTGCCCACTTTTACCTGCTACTATGTCAGCATATCAACCCTTGAGCCGTTACAGGTTTGTAGGAAGTAGAGTGAGACGCGACATGGAGGCAGACTTGCTGCTGGGGAACTGAACTAATTTGCTGTTTTCACGACTAACAAAACAAGGTGAGCCTGAGTTTTAAGTCTACAGCAATACGTTCAGCAAAGGTAACCTCTTAATCAGTGTTTGGACTTAGTCAAGCTTTTACATGGGAGGGAGATTAATAAAGTTTCCATCGACGTAACAACAAAAGATCAGAGTTGGTAGCCAATCATGTATTTTCTTTGTGCGTGTACAGTCGTGTTTAGTATGTATGAAGTCATTTCCTGCAGCAGATCTACTGATGTGATCTCTAAAAATGCACTGCATATGACCTACTTACAAAAGGTCATACGCCATGTTTAAGGTATTGTTTTCACTATGTTTGATAGTCAAGGGCTCAGACTTTAGGTTTAAACTGAATATAACTAGGATATGGGAAACCGATTTCACAGTGTAATTCAGCCCATGTTTTGTTTCCCAGTACAGTACTTCATGGTCATGGATACAATCTTTGCTACCCTGGCTTGTTACCTCATGGCCCTGTCTATTGCTGTGGCACAAACAGAAAATAGGAATTTGACTACCACACCTACAATAACAAACCCTGACTTCAACCTGACACACACGACTACAGTGGTAACCCCATCTAACTCGACTGCACATGTAACTGTTATCTCAAACCTGACTGAGAGCACCACGGCATTTACCAGCACAACACGGCAGAATGAAACATTCAGCGAAACTACAGCAACTACAACTGAGAGCACAAGTCATTTCAAGACTTCTCAGTCAACAACCATCATGACTTCTCTAACAAATAGTACATCAGTGATGACTACAACTGGCACTCACACTTCAACATTTACTGCACGTACAACGCCAGCAAAGCAGACCACAGAAGGCTACATAAGTACACCTGTTACTTCAAATTCATCTCACACTGTCAACACAACTGCAGATACAATGGACAGAACCACACAAGGTAAGCATCAGGCTTCCTGTTTTATAAATGATTTAACTGCTTATTGTATGTTGAAACTTAACTCAAGTGAATGGCTTTAATTTCTTCTTTTTCCTGTGTTACTAGGTTTGGGACTAAACATTTCAGAAAGGAATATGACTATTCTCTTCAGCGTTGTACTTGGAGTGTTTGCTACGGCATTGGTTGTGTTCATGTACCACAGATGCAAACACAAAATCCAATACTTCCATCAGCCTCTTGACAACACTGAGGACACAGGTAAGGAGTTCCCCTTCATCATACAATCAGTACAAACTATTTTGTTTATTATCAGCAGTTAAAACTGCCTTTTTAATTTTCAACAGATGCATTTGTGGCAGACGATGACACACTTGTAATTTCTGGAGGACTTTATGATGGTCACCCAATATACGACAATGTACCAACAGTCCCAGCAGACCAATCTCAATTCCGTCTTGAGTTCCTTCATTAAGGAGAGAGAGGTCCTTTGCTGCTCGATAGGCATGGACAAAACCAATTTTCTTCATCTCCCAATTAGTGCAATTTCAAGATGGAAATTTCACCCCTGTGAAATTATAAATCTTCATGAGAGGCTAATGGGAGGAAGAGAAAATGACGATGGGCAGAACATTTAAACAAGGACAATGCTGATTGATTTGAACATCACTTTTACTTATATCACTGCCAATACTAAGATACATAAATATATTACGGTAAATATATTTAGATAGTAATACATAACAACTACACCTTTTCCCACATCAATGTTCATCAAATACACATATGCAGAATGAATGAGATTTCATGTGAATACCAGTAAGGATAAATAATTCCATAAAACAGCACTACATCAAACAGATTTTTTTCTTCTCAGTACTTAAAGCATAGAGGGTGATTCAACACTCTTAAAAGTCACTTAAAAGTTACCTCAGAACCCCAACCAAAAACTTGCTAAACAAGCTGGAGTATGAATACTTAAATATTTCTACTGTTTTACTATTTCTACTTTTTAGCTGATCCATAACAAAACCATATAAGCATGTTAAAAAATACATTTGCCTTTTTGATCCCTAACAGTACTATATGCATGTTATGAAAGTTGGAATATGAACACCTAAATCTGTCTAATGCTGTTTTTATCACTCTTTATCTGACCTTTACCAGCACTATTTATCCAAATATCTTCTCATTGGTCTTCTTCTTTTTTTTGTCCCCACCAGTAACAGCAGTCCAACCAGCATCTCTCATCCTTTTCATTGCAGCTAGCTTCAAGGAGTTCCCTGGTGATTTATGAGTGACAGGGCTCTGGATCTGAAATCATTTGTAACTTTATTTTTTATAATATTAAATAAAAATTACCAGGGACTTTTTCCTTCTTTGTCCACGCATAACATGCATACATATAATTTTCAAATAGCACTGCACCACTGTGGCCATGTTACCTTTTTAAGGATGTTGCATTTGTAGAGTGGAGCAGACAAATTGGGTGTGGGTGCACTTGCAAAGCTCTGTCAAGAAGAGAAACAAAAGGCCAAATCAGTTCTTCTGGCAATCTTGCACAAATGATCAAATGAACACCAACACAGTTTGTGATACTGTATACTTTTAACAAAGATTCCATCAACCAATGAAAATAAAACTCACCAAGAGATCATTTTGATCAGAGCTGTCAGACTTTGGATCAAGCTCTATGGTGCTCTTCGCCCAGCGTGCCGCCTTTTCAGAAGGGGGTGTTCGTATTCTGTAGGACTGTAAGGGAATTCAAAGAGTAAATGTCAGCAAATGGCATTCATATTTTTATTCATTTTGGAAAATGTCAAAATGATACTGTATATTACTTTGATCTTTGATGTTCCGCCAACCCTGTTGGTAATATTTTTTGGGTTTTTCAGGTCTTCATTGCGAATTTCCTATGATGAAAAGTCAATATGAGAGTGGAATGAACGAGTTAATATGAATGCTACAATAGACATAGAGAATAGAATAGAAAATCGTACAAGTATTTCAATAATAACCAGCAGTTACACGCTCACACTGCATTCATTCACTGTTGACAAAACACCTCGCTTTTTTATCTTCTACACACACAGTTTATGTGAATAATGGACAGTAAGTCTCAATGAAAAACACAAATACTGTTGAAAGGTTATAAGCTGGCATCCCTGATGGGAGAATGGTCTGAATGGGACTAACAGGTGACTAAATACACAATGTCCAAAGTATTTTTACTTAACCTTTCTTGAATTTCAAACTCACCGCAAAAATTAAACAGTGCTGAAATGAGACAAACTGCTCTATCGGTCTAAAAACATTTGGTAGATTAAACTCACAGTTTTCTTTATAAGTGCAGTATTTCCATCATCTTTGCTGTAGGAGGGTGTTTTCCTGCTCTTGGAGAAGTCAAACACGTGTCTCTTTGAAGAGCTCTCTTTTGGAGTCTGTTGGTTGTTGTTGGAGGCAGGCGACTAGAATTTTAAAGAGGTGTTCTTGGTTAAGTACTAGTGAAGACAAACCACACTATTAGAGGTAGCCTATTTGATGATGTACAGATTTTGTACCTGCTTGTTTGATGCTTCTGACAGTTGAGTCAGTGAGATTTTGACTGATGACATTTCTTTCTTCAAATCAGTTAGCTCCTTCTCCAGGTTTTCCTAATAGCAATGAAAAGTGTTTATCTAAGAATAGATCGTTTCTCTGAAGTACAACCTGTTTCAGTAAAAAGCCAAAAGGACACACCTTCTCCGTCACTGCTGCCTTCAGCTGTTGCTTCAGCTGATCATTATCTGTCTTATGCTTCTCGAGTGCCAACTCCTGATTTTAAGAATATATATAAATTTGGCAATGTTTAAAATGTATTTATTTTATAATTGTTTTATATACTTTAATAAACATTAATTTGGAATTTCATACCAAGGATTTCCTATGGGAAACAGCCTCCATCTCTTTCTTCTTGTTCTCATCAAGCTCCGCATCCTTTTCTTCAACCATCCGATCGTACTGGCTCTGTTGAAAACAAATCAAGATCTTTCCAGTGCAGCATGTGTTTTTACAAAACCAGTTTCATACAGCAAAATACATACTTTATGATGATCTTACTTTGTGTTTTTCCATCAATGCGACCATATCAGCTATCTTCTGTTGACACTTGAGTTCTGTGTCTTCCTTGTTCTTGATGGCCTCTGCTGCTGTTAATTTGATCTTTTGTACCTGCAGGACAAGGTGTTTTTATTCTTAGTTGTTTGTTCTGTGGAGTTAAAAATGTGGTCTTTATCCTAACATTATATAAGTTACCTCATTCTCGAGTTCTGCTGCAAAGGTTGATTTGGACTCAAGATCCTTAAGCATTTTCTGATGGTCTTTCTCATTCAGTCTTTTAAGGCTCTTGGACTCCTTGTGAAGACTGTTGACCTAAACACAAAAACAACCATCTACATTTAACAGGGTTATACTTATTAGTTTTTGTTGTTTTATATCAATATTAAGAACTGGAAGATTTAAAAAAACATCACCATACCACAATTTCAAGTTGACTGGATTTTGCAATCTCCTTTGCTATTTGTTTCTTAAGCACTTTATTCTGAAAATAAAAAATTAAATGTAAGCTGAATAAATAACAACCTCATTGCAAGTATTGTTTATCTATAGTTTCATTGTCATCACAAACCTCTTTCTGGTATTCCTCCTGGGCTTTAAGTTTCATTTCAATTTTTTTCCTGAGATTGCACAGCTACAAACCAAACAAGTTCTTGTTACTTCCCGAAAATGAGCAACAATAATAACAGCACTTTTTTCCACAAGTTTTTCAATTACCTTTGTTTCCACGGCTTTGATGTGTTTTTCTTTTTCTTTAATTTCCTTCTGCAGATGTTCACACTATACAGAAAAGGCACAAATAAATGGGTAATTGTTTCACACGTTCAGAACAAAAGGCATGTTGTGTTTTTATTGATAATTGCTTTAGTTGGCATACTTACATTATGTTCAGTTTTCTTCTGTAGAGTCTCTGTTTCCTGATATTTGTCTTGGATTTTGGTTTGAATGGAGTTTACTTCCTCTCTATTTAATGAAAATTCAAAAATCTAAATCTCAAAAATTGCAAAATGTCAAACCTCTTTACCTCTTTGAAGTGCAAACTCACCGTAAACACTGGTTTTCTTCTTCCAGTCTTTGAATTTCTCTTGTGAGCTTCACAGCCTTCTCCTCACTCACCTGATAAGATAAAATGTGTCATTTATATGTAATACAAAACAAACAACTACTGTACACATGAAAACAATCTCTCACATTTGATTTGATCATTCTGACCTTCATGTTTACCTCAATAGCTTGCACATTATAAGATCCACTCTCCAACTGCTTCTGAATGGCTGCCTTCTCAGACTGGAGCTCGTTAAAGTTGGATAATAGTTCTTTGTACTTTACTCTTAAAAATGACATAAATCAAACACAGACATCAAGATTAAAAATAGTTTATTATTATATACTATAGGCTAATATTATGGAACAATAGCTATTAAGAACTCACTCATGCTGTGTGATGTCCTTCCTTAGTTGCTCCGTCTGAAAGGTTTGTTCTTTATTTTTCTGTATTTCAGTAAACAATTGTCCCTCCAGCTCCTGCACTTTGATCTGAGGGTATTTAAAACATTATACAGAGAAGCTATGTCTTGCATTTAATACACCATATCACTGAATGTTTTTCATTATAAAAATATTTTCCCAAACAATATCTCCACAGTGGGTGAGATGAGTGCAGCAAGACAATCATGTAAAAACCTCTGTCACTGTGGACCTCTCCTTTAAATCTTCTTGTGCCTTTTCAGCAGTTTCATATGCCTTCTTCAGTAGATCATTTTCAGCAAAGGCGATCTCTACTTTATTCTGTTTTAGTAAAAAATGTTATCTAGGGCATACATATTTAGGTATCTGTATTAGAATATCTGTATAAACATCCCCTTTCCCTCTGAGATATAAGCATCTATTTGAATCACCTGAAATAGCTGGGTTTCTTCTTTTTTCCTTGAAAGCTCGGCTGTCAGTTCCTTCACTCTGACTTCAGTGATGTCAATCTTACCTTTCAGAGACTCAACAGATTTGGATTTTTTGTCCTAAGAACAACAGCAGCACACTGTGAGTGTCTACAAGTCATCTTCTATAGTGTTTGGACTACAATGAATGGTTGAGAAACAAAGAATACATTCCTGTAGAAAATCAAAAATGCATCCTTACAAGTTCATCTTCGAGGATTTTGATCTTTCCATCTTTCTTTGCACACTGCTCCACGGTCTCTCCTGTTGATTAAAACATTTTCTTTCAGCTTGTCAGAGCATTTAATGAAAATATCTAGACATTTCACTCAGGGAGGCTTACCTAAAAGTGTGTTTCTTAATTCAAGTTCCTTCTTGTTTGCCATGAGTTTATCCTCTAGTTCCTTGGCCCTTGAAAATGACACAACATGAACATTACAGTATGAAGAAGATTTGCCTTTGGTCAGGAAAATGCTATGAATATTCAGGAGTTCATTATACCTCTGTATCTCTAAGGCTAGTGAATTCTGTAGCTCCTGAATGGTTGTCTGAATCTGCTCCAGCTTCTCTGCTTGTTGATTTTTAACTCTGCTGAGTTCCAGCAAGTTTAAGTCTTTGCTTTGAATCAACTCTGTAAATTCTTCTTTACTTTGTTCCAGCATTGCAGCAACAGCTTCACGATTTTTCTGAAGGAAAGAAAACATTTTAATCAAAGCAGACAGAAGCACAGAACAGTTTTACTGAAAATGACAAGAATCTCAACACACACCTCAGTTTCTTTACATCGCTGCTCTGCTTTCTGCAGTTTTTGAAGAAGGCACTCCTGCTCAGTTTTTGAGCTTTTGAGAAGTTCATATTGTTCATCTGTAAAGTTTGTAAATATTTAATGATATCATCCTTCTCTAGTTTTCCTTCAAATAACAAAGTGCACTAATACTGCTCACTGACCTTACATTGGAGAAAAAATAACCAACTACAATAATCATTTTATACAAAGTACTATTTTCTTCATGTTTAATGTCATTTTCACAAGTTCAGCTATTTACTTGTTTGTTGAGTCTGATGTAAAATAAGATCAAACCATTAATTAATTCATAATGCTTACCAAATGAATAGTCACTGCTACTTGATCATTTTTCAATTAAAGTGCTCATTGAACATTTGCATTGGGAATGTGTATCAAAACTTTGTTGAATGTGGTTTAACAAAAGAATTGACAATCACCACAACACTATTGTTTTGTTTTGAAACAAAGTTTATCAAATTTTCTTTTTGTATGTAAAAATAAACATATGAGCATGAGTTAGATCTTGAAATCTAATCTTGATCTTACTTGTTGCTTCTTGAAGCTGTTTGCAGTGCTTCTGAGCTTCATGGAAATCAAGCAGGATTTTTTGTAGTTCATTTTCTTTAACTGTAAGTTGTGTTTGAAGAACTGCAACCTATAAATGCAGTGTTAATCCTTAAGCAGTTTGTTTTGACACTTGTAGTTACATTAAGAGAGTTTTATTTTACTAACCTCTTCCCCTTTCATGTTGTATTCTTGACGATAGTTCTCTCTTAGATCTTCAAATTGCAGCAAGTCCGCTTTGACTAGAAAAAGACTGAAGAGTTAATTCTCTTGCTAGTGGACATGCTATTTTGCTCATTATCTTCCTTCTTCATATTATTTCTGACTGATTATTACATCTGAAGATTTGGAGCTACTGTAGTGAAAAGCCTAGTAATCATACACATACAAAAAACAACCTTTCTGCATCTCTTGTTGATCAGCTTCTGCTCGAACACGAAGGCTTTCGAATGCTGCCATCAGTTTCTACAGAAAGAAAGTTACTTGTAAACTGACCATCAAACCATGTCCTACTGTTTTACTAACTCATGTCCAACAGATTCTTTTTAATAAGTAAATACTGCATTATGATATAGATTTAGAGGTGTTTTACCTGAATACTCTCACTATTTTCCATAAAGAGGTGATGTGTTTCTTCTCTTTCGGATTCAACTGCAAAATGTAAAAACTGGTTTTAAAACATGCAGTAATTTGTAATTGTTTTATACACCTTAATGATGCAGAAAATTTAAAGCATTTTTACTTACATAAAAGCATTTTCTCAGCTGACCGCTGAAAAGTATCTTTGAGTATATTACACAAGTTCCTTGTTCCATTGTTTCTGTTAAAAATGTAAACATTGACATTTAAAAAGAGACCAAATTACAAAGCACATTTAGAGTGTTTCAGAGAATAAACCCATACTTGTTCCTTAAATCCTCATTTTCACTGATCTGTTCCTCCAGCTTTATGCTGAGACTTTCATTTCCAAACTGTAAAGACAGAACACGCACAATAGATTAACTACAAAGGGTGTCAGAATACACTGTACTAACATGATCAATAATGCTTTAATGAGAGAGAGAGAGGGAGAGAGAGACAGACAGACAGAGACAGAGACAAAGAAATGTGTCACTGAAGCACACCACCTGCAGGTCTTGAATGGCTTTGCGCTGAGTTTCTATTGTTCTTTTGTTTTCTTGGAGTCTCCTTTCCTTTTGCATAGTGTCAGAGTCAACTTTGACCTTCCAACACTTAATTTTCTCAACTTCATCAAACAGCTTGGAGTAAAGCTGTACTGGATTGCCATTGTTCTGGGAGATATTCACAATGATAGGAAGTAAACTGACACACTTCAGAACAAACATGTTGCAAAGGCCAATTCTATCCTATTCATGCTTCAGGTTTTTGTACAATGAAAATGTTACCTCATCTTTCTCCATTGGTGGCACGACTTTCATCTTGGCAAAGTCTTTAGAGGAGAGACAATAATTAATTCATATATCATAAGGTTTATGATAGTTGCCAACTTTATGTGCTGAAATTATGTAGCCAGTGTTGTTTAATATACAATACCTTGTCTCGTTGGTGCAACCATGCCTGAATTGGGGAAAGGCATGCTCTGCTCTTTGTCAAAACATTTACTGTACTCCTAAGGGAAAACAGCAATTATGCTTCGTCACGATTTATTTTAATGATTACTGCCTCTTAGACTACAGCTGCCACCATGCATTTATGTTTTTAGCTTACAACAAGGAAAACAATGCACATACGTGCGCGAAAAGTATGGTTAAGAATTTCATTGCTGGTAAAAACTTGGCTAATAATTGTGCTGCAGATGATGTTAGTGCTGAGCTAGCGTCGAAGTGTTTTGCATTTACTTTATTCATCACCATTTAACGCTGCTGTTGGTTAACTATTTGCTGATATCACTTACCTGCTGCAATGTATTCACGAAATCACCACAGCTCTCAACTAATTCCTGAGGTCGAACAGCAGACACCTGTCCACTATTGACCCTGGGCGGTACCAACAGTTTGAAGTTAAAACCCCGGTCTCTCTCCATCCTGAAATGGACACATTGACACAGCTTTAAGGTAAAGTCCAGGTTATTTATCAATTTATCAGTGGTACAATTAGCGTTACGACTTTATCAAGAGGGATACATTTTTTTGTAACAGAGTATGAGAGGTAATGTAAGACAACCTTTACATTATTTCATTTAACCCATTGACCTGACGTTACCTTAACGTTAGCTGTTGGCTGGGTTAACGAATTAGCTCGCTAATAAATTCAGTTTAACTTATAACGTTAACTTAACGTTAGCTATCAACCGGTGTCACTTGACGTTAGCTTACTTAACGTTAGCACTAATTCCCCCTAAACATTTACAAGATAGCTACTAGGCAAAAACATTTAAAGTTACGTAACAGCCAGGTTACTTAACTTACATATTGTTGGTAACTTAAAGTTTCAAGCATTTACTGTCTATGACCTGGTCAAACAAAACGTTATCTCCTTTAAGCTGACGAACGTCTGCCGGCGCGAGCAACAATTCTCCTGTTGAATAACATGACGTTAACGGTTAATTCAAACTTTGTGTAACGGCTACCAGTAAGATTACATCCATTATCGGACAGCTAAGAGCACAAACGTACTTTTTAAATGCCATTTATCATGTCAATGTCATTTGACATGTTTCCTTTTAACTTATGACATGTAGAGGTAGATGTTTAGTGGTGAGGTGGTTGTAGGACAAAAGACATGGATGCCGCTGTTAGGTAGGTCTTGTTTGTCTGATAACGGACCCATGGGCCGCAAAATTAATAATTAGATCAAAGTACACATGCATGGACGTTGAGAAGCTGGTAACTGATAATATGTGCGGCTTTATTATTACCCCCTAACATGTTAGTTAACAAAACATGTAAGGTTAAGAAAAGTAGAAGACACTGGCGCTGGAGCCCAAGCCTTTCAGACAACAATGAGACTTGCAGGTTCATAAATTCAGAAAGAAGACTAAGAGTTTGGCCATATTTAACTAGAAAGTAATGCATAAAGCCTTAAGCACTGGGGGAAAGTAACAGTAAATTTACTTAAGTCCTTTTGAGGTACTTCATACTTATACTCAACTAGATTTCTTTGGGAAATATTGTGCTTTTTTTCCCTCAACATTTATTTGACAGCTGTAGTTACTTTCCAGATTCAGATTAGTAATATAAAATATAATTAATTATGATGTTTCATTATAGATTAAACAACCCGTACATTTGTTAAAGTTAGCCCCACCTTTACCAGCTGCAACTACACATAACTGCATCAATAATTACAATATTCTTCTGAAATGGGCCATTCGGCATAATGAGTACTTTTACTTTTAGTAAAGTATATTTTGATTCAAATACGTTTGTACTTTTACTTGCTTGACTTTTTCTACACTGTGGTATTGCTACTGAAGTAAATAATCTAAGTACTTGTTCCTTAAATGGCCTTAAATAAATAGAAGAGGTTCCTGAGTCATGATGAATGATATCATAAAACACATTGGTGTTCCTTGGTTCCGCCTCCTCTTTGGTTAGGGCATATGAACAGGTCATGTATTATTCAAGGAAAAATTAAATAAACATATGCAATCCTCTCCATGTCCTAGAAATTCAGTACAGATCTAATCTTTGAAAATTTCTCAGATGGAAAAAGCATGACATGCTGTTTAGTACAGAACATTGCTTCATGTTTAATTTTGAAGGCTTAGTTTGCATATTTTATCTGCTGGTTTAATGAGCAGTATGTCACTGATTTGTGTCAGTTTTGCACATGTTCAGCCAGTGGAAAAATAATATCAAGTTATTATTGTCTAGCCAATATTCTATTAAGCCTACTTAATATTGTGTGAGAAGGTCTGTTATTATTTTTGACTGTGGTTGTTATAAAATGGCAAGCGCATAATTAAAATCAAATGAGTTGATGCAGTGAAGGCATTTGTCTTATAAGTGCCACAGATTACTATACAGTAAATCTAATAATGCACTCCCTTCAGTCTGCTTAATATATATGATACCGGTGTAGTTTTTTTTAGAAAAACAGTGTTATTGCATCTCAAATACTCAAGAACTAACATTTTTCTGATCTCAGATTTATTGGAAATATAAACAAATGAAACAGCGGCATTTGTATTCTTGTCAGATTAGTTTATTTGATTTCCTGACACGTTTCCATACACAGTAACTCAGTGGCACATTGTCTTATCATGTCAGTACACAAAGCTATGCAACAAGGTTTAATACAGAATTATTGATACTCATCAAAAATGGAACAGCAAAACATGTTTAAAATAGAAATTGAGAATAAGTATGAATATATTTGACTAGAACATACAAAGTGAAAGTGGCACAGGATGTTTTCAAACCTTCCAAAATTGCACAGTCCTTGTAAACAGGAAAAAGTCTATACATGTGGTGTTGCAGGCAAAATGAGGTGACTACTATAAGTATGCACATAGAGATGCTCATAGAGAATATTTGCATTCATGTTGAAAAAATGGAGAGCTGCACTTTGCGTGTTCCTCATTGAAAAATATATTTTAATTATCTGATGGTACATTTTAGAAGGATGAAATACTATAAATGATGTGCTGTAGAAAGAGTTGATACCATCTGAGATTATTTTTTTTTACAATACCATAATATAACAATATAAGTGGCATAAAAGGCTAAGCAAACTTGACAATCCTATAAGAATATTAGAGGTATTTTATGTGGATTGTTCATTCTAGTTTAAAGGGCTTTAATAGGTGCGTAAATAGTTTGCATATATACACCTCACAGACAAAAAAATGAACTTGAAATGAGCATGATACAGAATATTAGACAGTGTCTTCGGTGTTCCCTTCCTCTGCCACCTCTTTGGCAGCATTGACCCTGTTGGACCTTTGTTCTCTACATCCCACCTTAGACCTCTTCTCCTCCTCTTTTTTCTCTTTGGCCAGCATTCGATAGTTGTATCCCATCCCTGCAAACAGGAAGACACTGGAGACGATGAGGAGGATCCCACAGCCCTGGTATGTGTACTTGTAATCGTGATAGATGTCTTTGAACTTCCCTGTGAAGACAAAAAGAGTCCCATTGTATAATTTGTAGTCACTCTCAACATTAAGCTGGGGTAAACTACACAGAAATAAATTACAATTGGTGACTGTGAACTTCCAAGTCCCAAGGGTGATGTACTCACCAAGCAAAGGGGGCCCTACCAATACAGGACCACACTCCACAATAGTGACCAGCCCAACAGCACTGGAGAAGCGCTGGGTTCCCACTAGGTCCATCAAGGTCTCAAACAGCACTGAACTCAGCCAGCCAAAAGCAAACCCAAAGAAGATTGCATAAATCACAAAGCCTGTGTAGTCCACGGATATTGGTGCTAGAATGTGGCAAACACCATTGTACAACACAGAGGCAGCAAAGAAGTACTGTATTCTGGGCCGGACCCACTTTGTGTTAGCCACGATGCCCATTGAGGGCCGGGCAACCATGTCGACAAAAGCCAGCACAGACAATAAGAAAGCCGCCTTGTCTTTAGGGATGTCTTTACTCTTTGCAAAATTACTGAGGAACACCAGTGGTGGAAAGAGACCAAAAAACATGATAATATTGCCCATAATATAAAGCAAAAAGCCACGGTTCTTGAACAAAGAAAGGTCGATAAAGCTGTTAATGGTCTGCGCTACAGTCCTCCTCTCTGTGATCTTCTCTACAGGTTTGGGTTTTGGTCCTATAGGCCGCATGAGGGAACCAGCGACACAGCAATTGAGGAGCAAACCACCCAGGATCAAGAAACTTCCTCTCCAGCCAAAGCGGTCAAATAGCAAGGTGTTTATAGGAGCCATGGTGGAGAGAAAGACAGGGCTTCCAGCCATGGCAATTCCATTGGCAATAGGCCGCCTTTTGTAGAAGTACTTTCCAATCATAGTGAGGGCAGGGTTGAGGTTGAAGGCCAATCCCAAACCTGAAAGAATCAATTTTTTGTGTAAGTGTATCTGAAATCTGTAGAGTTGACAAAGAAGGATTTGAGCATTAAACAGTGTTCGGAGATTCAAAATATAGCTTGGTGTTTTTACATTTGAGGAACACTAGATGGCAACAGTGCGCAGGAAAAAAATAGATGACTCATGAGCAAACTTAGAAATATAGAAAGTTACAATTAGGTACCTCCCACCACACCAATACAAAAGTACAGTGCTTGAACGGAGTTGCAGAAAGAGGCAGCAATAAGGCCCACTCCAGACAGGCATCCTCCCGCCATCATAACAGGACGACTGCCATATTTATTAACCAGGATGCTGCTGATAGGACCTGAAGAGCAAATGATAATACACAAATATACATATTAGAAGCTGAAAGATGACGATTTTTATCCAGTCATCAATGCACAGTTCTATAGTTAACCACCAGAGAGCTCCAGTGCCACAGCTGCGGCTCAGCAAATTCAAGCAACTTCTGCAATCATTTGTGTAAGTGCTGCACTGCAGTAGATGTGTTTTCATGCCATTAATAATACGATCTGTCAGAAAAAACATGAAAGCTGTAATGAAATTTTCATTTATTTGGTTCAGGGATTCATAAAAATTGACAAGGGAATGATTTGTTTGTGGATTCTTCTTAAATGGATGAAATGATTATCGGAAGTACCTTAGTTCAGACAGGAGGATGGGTGTGTAAGTGTGCGTGTGTTCTTTGTTTTTGTTTGTTGGGGGTGGGGGGTGCGGGGGGGGGGGGGGGTATGAGGGGGTTTATGGGGTTAAAATAACTGTCATCTTCTTAAGTAAATTTTTTTTGTTACAATTTTGCCACCTGGTGCACTAGGTCCATTAAGTTATTAATATGCAATCCCACTTGGATTCTCAAAGAAAATCACTCTGAAATGCAAAGAGGGTTCAGGTCACAAAACACCACATCCATCTACAGCTTATAACAACCGGCCCAAATGAGTATGAGGACCCACATGGAAGACACTTCTGCCTTCCTGCCAAATCCCTGCACTACCCAATGAACCTAAATAGAAACTGACAGTTTTTGTTTAGAGGATGTCCAGACTCATTTGCCAGCACGGTGCAAGACAAAAGGTTTTTAAATTGTAATGCAGGCGGTCTCCAAGCTAGCAATGAGTTCTTTCCTTCTGCCTTGCAGGGAGTTAGAATAAAAAGGTTGGAGACAAACCAATGTAGAATATTATGAATGTAATGAATCAAAAATTGAAGGAGTACAGAGGTACGCGACAGTAGGCTGTTAATGAACTTCCCCTGCTGATGTGCTCAGAATGTTTAACACCTACAGTAACAGGCTCAGCTGTCTATCTACTCACAGCAGTGACAAACGTTTCCTCATACTTTCAGTTACCAGGCATCACTTGCTTTCATCTGTGTATATCTACAGGTAAACATTTGCAGTAATTAACAATGTTACACCTGAAAATGCATATTGAGTCCAGTGTAGCTCATGACTTGTTCACTTTTATAGCCATTAAAAAGGTTGTAACCTCACACAAGCTTGGAGCCTTTATGTGCTCCTACAGAATTAACACACTGTAAGGTGAGAGACAAATTAACAGTCAGATGTTCTCAACTTTCTTTTATGTAGGTTATGTAGTACCAATATGATATACAATAAAGACTTGTTTAGATGTAACATGTTCAACACTATGCATGGAATGAAATGAAAATGCTAGCCTAGCAAAAGAAAATACAGTCCACTTTTATTACATGCAGATCTTGCAAATAAATTTTCCACTCTGGCCAGAATAGAAAATTTGATACAAAGTAGTTTTATATGGTGTAATATTTTCTACTTCACATCAGTTTGGCACCATAAAGCAACTTTTCTGAAACTTCCCTGAGATTAAAAAAAAAGATGCCTAAGTCATCATTTTTCCAGTTTATCACACGATAGAGTAAAGAGAAGTGCAGTGTTTTGATTTCAGAGCAGACGGTCTTGAGGGACGAGGAACGCTCCTTTGAACTCTGTTCTCTCTGTATTAAATATCACGCACATGAATAGAGCCTTATCACCTCACTGGCCGGACCTGTGTGACATCACCCAGCTTCTCATTCATCTCATCAGTGCAGGAACACAACTGAACCCCAGGTGGTTTTCCACTCTCAAAGCAAAAGGCAAAAACTCATTCATGTGCTCCAGAGACAGATAATGTTGCACTTTCAATAGAGGACTTACAGTATTGTTTTATCTCGGTATGAAATGTTTGATTTAAGCCACACTATAATTCTGAGAAACTGTGGCCTCTTTGTGGATAAACTGAGGCTGAATGCAAGTCTGTATTTGATCAAAAAGCAGTGGATTGACTTTTAACTGAACACTCCAGGAATAAATCTTTTACAGTTGTGCTAAGAGCCAGAAATTGATTCAATCTATAAATCTTATTTGCGTGCTAAATGTCAACGTTAAACCAACATTTGGCTGGTTGTATTTTGTTTCACAGCTCACCTCCACCGTACATGACCGCTAACATGATGGAAGAGATCCAGGACACCTGGCTGCTGGACACGTCAAAGATCACCTCAATGTCTTTAAAGAAGACCGTGATAGACTTGGGGAATGCATAGGAGAATCCAATAGAGATGAAGGCCCCAACCACCACCATCCATCCCCAGCCACCCTCAGGTGGTGTGTAGCCTTGTGGACCACCGACAGCAGGCGCCATTTTCACTCACAAATCTCCTCTTTTCAAATTTCAACACGTTATACAGATATGATGACCTGTTCAGGAGAGAACAAAACAGCAAAGATAATTACTTGATTAGTTTTTATTTCTTTAAAGATTACTTTGTTATGTTTTTGTTGAAACATGTTGAAAATAATTCACTGATTGAGAGTTGTTCAATAAACGGTTGGCTTTTTGAAAATAAAAGACTTAAGTGAATATGTATTAATCCAGCAGTAAATGCATATTGTAAAACTGTCTTGAACTTGATGTTTTGTCCTCAGCTTTGTATCTTCCATCTGATAGCTCTGAACACTTGTATCAACTCTGTATCAACTGGAAAACAGCAGCAACATTTATTCAAGACGATATTGTCACAGATAAGCTCGTCAGAAGTCTTGCAAGTCTTGGTTATAAAGCCTTTCATCAGCTGATATTTCAATGGACAATTAAGAGAGGAATGTCAGATGTTTCAGAGCTGAGAACAGTGGGTTCACAACAAGAAAATGAATGAGAATGAATACAACAAAATAACAAAATTGAGAAAAAGTACCTCCAAGAACCCCTGCTTTGCTGATACGTTATGTGTATTTGGGAAGATTTATCAAAAAATATTAACTCTATAAAATAGTATGAGATTAATGATACAATTTTGGGCCTTGCTTTACTTTGAATTGCTCTCTGCATGTATTCACTGAGCTCCCACCCGCTGATCTCCTACAGTCTCACTTTAGAGGTGATGAATAAGAGTCCATGTGCAGAGTCAAACAACTTACTGTATTGTTTACACAGGGGAAACTATCCAGAGAAAACATCGATCAGACCGTGAACACTGGTTGAATTCACACTGTTCAATAGCTCAGGGCTATGCTCAGGAGTGGGTGATGATGTAGTGTTTTTCAGCCAAGGAGGACTTGATGTGGTTGATGAATCAGTTTAGTACTCTGAAAACGTATTGGATAAGCCAGTTGTGTGCAGCGAGTAGTGAATATTTAATGTGTTAAAGAACTTTTGTTATTGAGCTGGGATTTTAGCTGCTGCTATGCAGCTGTAAATGTGCCTCCTGCATTATTCTACAGATGCAATAGGTAATGGAGGAGAGATAAGAACTATGCCTCTTGTTTATTCAAACAGACATTATGGGTTACTTGGAGTAATTATACAATAACCACTTGGAAGTAACAACTTAACTTTACACATATCAAATAAACATATTTGAGCATAAAGTGCTGTGTGTTTTATATAATGCATGTTTCACATTGGACGATCAAGGATTTCACTGCATGTGATGCCAAAATTACTCCAAACAATAACAGAGGCAGGTTCACTCTTTGAAGCTTTTACATCATTAAGAGGAGGTAGAATTGTTACAGGGCTACACATGGGTGATATGTTCGATAAATCAACTTTCTATATATAAACGTTAACAGAAAGTGAGAAGAGAAGCTTGATATCAATCTGTTGAGTACAGAGCTGGCGTAGTTAGCCTAGCTTGTTTCTGTTCTGTTAAAAGTATGAGATACAGCAATACAGAATTTATTTGTTTAATCTGTACAAGTACAGGAATGAAAAAAATACATATTGTGGTTTTCTGAGAAGTTTGATGCTGAAATTATTTCTTGGCTGATTCCCTTTGTACCCAGTCTTTATGCTAGCTACACTAAACATGTCATGACTGCCGCTTTGTGCTTTACATAAGGTACATTCTACTGACATCACTCTACTAAGAAAGAAACCAAATAAGCATTGTTTCCAGTTTTATTACGCATGTTTCAAACTCCTTAGAAAGTTCCCTGTTGCTTAAAAGAATTCCTTTCATGATGTTAAACATTTTTCTTTAAAATAACGGTGACCCCATTAGGCTTGTTTAGCAATCAGCTGGTACACCTGAGCCGTCATTCCTCCACCTCCTTTTCTTGACAAGGGCTTTGAAGTAAAGCTAAATGCTTGAAACAGCAAACTTTCTATCTATTACTGTTTATACTTAAGTGGAATATTTTTTTTGTGAATGCTAATTTTTCTTTGTATCTTTGTTCTTTAACATAGGTCACATTAAAGTTTGAATATGGTGGTTTAGTGTAACATTTCTGTGTTGATACCTTTGATAAATAGAGGTGGGTGTTCTGGATTTCCCTTCACACCTGTCACGTTCCCCACTGTGAAAAACAGAGCCTGCACAATTATGACTTAAGAAAGGTCGGTTGAAAGATTTTCACTGTCTGTAAATAGTCATCACACATCTACCAAGCAGCCCCTGTAACAGGACAGTATGCTGGGGAAGTGTTCTTTACTGGCAGCAGAGACAGCGGTGTCTGTATTTTTATAAAATGAAAAATTCAGTGGTTGACGTTAGATGATGAATTGAGGAACAACTTAAGACAGACAGGACTCAAGATAAAATGGCAATACCTCCAAAATAATGAATAAAATGGATAATTTTATACTAAGGATTGATCACTTGGCTCTAAAATGGAGAGAAAAGTATCAAACAATTTAATGAAAACTGCAGAGTCGATCTGTTTAAGCCAGGCAGCGGAATGAAATAAGTGGACAAATGAGCAGAGGCATCAACGCTAACCCCCTTTACACTGTAAAAGTCTAAATAAAGCTGTCAAAGTGGGCGGCTTGAAAGTGCCTCTTGACAACACACACCTACTTGGACAAAGCAGGGTGGGCTCAGCAGAGGACATTAGTAAAAACACAACAGGATTTGGTGTCATTGCTTAAAGGATGAATGGAAGATTGAATTTTCCTAGGAATTAATTTGACTAACGTGGGTCACTTAGTCACAGCACTGTTGAGACCCCGGCCTTGGTATGTGAAGTGATGAAACCCTGTTGCTGGACTTGACCAACATTAGCAGAAGGGCAGATGAGGCAAAGCATTCAGGGACCCCACTAAATGTGTTTCAGGAAATATTCCTTCTCTTTAGTTTGTAGGATTCTGATTTGGTTTTGATTTATTGTGAGCCACATGGAAATTAATAACTTGAAAACAGTTGTTAAGATGGGTACATTCACAACAACAGTAGCTGGAATAAAGTTCAATGAACATGAGATTTTACATCTTTGGCTACACTTCATAGCGTAACAGTTTCCATTCATTCTCCCTGCAGCCATGCTCTGGGCCTTATGACCCCAGGTTTCTAATACCACTTATTAGATCTAGTGAATTTGTCTGATTAATTATAGATAGCGTGTTAAATATTTGCTCCGGAAAATTGCACACTCACATAATTAGTATTATTATAACACTGACAAAGCAATAAATTTTTTATGAATAACCAGCTAAACGTAGATTACACATGCAAGTAATTATGTTTAAAGTGATGTCTGGCAAATGTTAAATGTGCTTATTGTGTGTGTCAAGGATCTTACCTTTGGCAGGAGCTCTTGAACCAGTATTGCAGATGAACTCTGCAGATAAACAGCAGTCTCGGAGGGACGTTAACACACTGCAGACATCATTGAATGGGACTGAGCCTCTCTGAATATGTATGAAATAAAAGTGCTGCATATGTTTCACAGATACTCCAGAAGTGATCTGTGGGTCTTTATCCACCGTGACAGTCCAAAAGTTGCCTGCGGGTCCTTGGCCTCAGACTTCATCTGTTTCCAGAAACTAAAGTGAAGCTGAAAAGTTGAGTTCATTGACTGCCCACATCAAACAGCTGGATGATCTGGACACTATGGTGCTAAATGTTGAGGTCAGTCAACTTCTTATTGGCTGTGGGAGGCAAAGTGCCGAGCCCCTACAATGCTTTCCCCACCCCTCTGTCATGTGCCGAGCTCTCACACAGGGTTGGAGTAATTCACTGTCCAACCCAATAGTATGTGTGACCAAAGAGGATATCACATAAAGTCTGCACACTAAGAGATAAGATCCTTTCTGAGACGCTGATTTCCTGCATTAGCTGATTTATCAGAGCTATTGAATTGAATTTTGGACGTTGCAGCTGTAAAAAATCCAGTTTACCTAAACAACAGACATTGTTTACCTTATCAACCTGAACGAAAGATTTTTGAACACTTCAGGGGTCAGATCTAGTTGAGCCTTTCTCCCAAACGTCCTTAGGAGCTATTAGTGTGTATCGGGCTTGGGAAAGGAATGGCCTCAGGAGGTTATTGAAATCATGTACTTCAAAACTGACACTTTTGAAACATTATTTCTCTTTGTTGCGTTATGTTTTTTCCATAATTTTTCTCCACCCCAATAAGGACTTTATTGCTTTTCAAACAGAGGATGCAGTAGAGCCCCACCTACAATTCAGTGTTTTCTCCTCACAAGAGCAGAGATTGAAGAATGGTAATGGATGTGGGACAGAGCCACCCTGGCTGTAGACTTTTAATCTTGTTTACACGTTAGCTACCTGGTTAAAAGAATAAGGAAAGCAGCAATTGCAGATTGAGTTAGTTAGTGACTGATGACCTCATTTACTCAAGATGTACATTAGGTCAAAGACAGAAGAAGTATCTTACTGCATTATCATTAAGCTTTTTTCATAAGTAATATTTCCTCTCTTACTGGTAGCAGCAAGGTCTGGTACAATCTGCAGCTCGTGGTTAGGAATCACTGTTGTAAATGACCTTAAAGCATTTTCAGAGGGATTAAAATGATTAGCTTAGCTATGTGAAACACAGCTCCTTCAGAGTATAAAATAAGCTGCAGTAAAACTGCTATACACATACATATACTTAAACAGGTACATTCTCTGTCAACAAACACCACCAGTGTTCTTTGTTCATTACCGTGACTTATTTTCCAAGGAAAATCCCTTGTTCTGAAATGCAATGCTTTTCTGTACTGTATACCCCACCCTCATCACGTATACAGCATTTATCTCTTCTATTACTCATATATTATAAAATAAATATGATCTGCCATATAATAGGAGCATGAGATGTCTCAGAGTACGTTATTTTACAAAAACAACACCAGAAGTATTACCGGGAGCCAAGTAAACACTGCACCACTTACAGCTTCGACTGGACTGGACTGAATGTAATTGCACCATGGCCCACAGATTTGACACTTACAGGTCAAAAGTCAGTGGCAATTACCTTTTACCCAGGCATAGTGGTACAGATGAAAGTGAAGTAAATCCTGGCTTGCTGAACCGAGAGTGTGGGGTCTTCATAAGGGTCAGGGTGAGCACCCAATGTTGCAAAAGCCAATTAGCTCACACATACAAGTAAGAAAATATTTCT